TCTAACGGAGGGTACACCCTGTATATTCAACAGGGGTGTACACTCTGTATAATCCATAGGATGGTACACTCCGTATAGTCTACAGGAGGGTACACCCTGTATATTCAACAGCGGGGTACACCCTGTAAAATCTAACGGAGGGTACACCCTGTATATTCAACAGGGGTGTACACTCTGTATAATCTACAGGAGGGTACACCCTGTATAATCTACAAGGGGGTGTACATCCTGTATAGTTTACAGGGCGGTGCATGAAGATTTTTCTCTGAATGGATTAGATTTAACTGAAGGGAAGCCCATGAGTAGGAAATCCTCTGGTTGATGTTGGTTTACAAACCTCTGAAATATCTTCGATGAAAAAAAGTGTTGGTAATTAAAAACATTTATAAAGAACGGAGATCTTGAAATTTGACAACCCATTGACGTAAGACCTGTATATTCTTTATAAAATTATTAAGAAATTGTGTCTTTACAACAAACTTTGTTAATTTGTTCTTGTCTCTGGATTAATGTAAAAAAAATCCCGTTATTGTGGAGACACCCTGTACCTTGATATCTTCCGCAGCTTGACTAACATTGATTCTCTTGATGTTTGCTTCTCTGCGAAGCTGTTGAACTACTTCACGTTCATGCTGCAGGGTAGTCACCTAGAAACATGAAGAAATGGTTGATCACAATGTCGTCTTTGATTGAATTGAAAATCCAAAGTTACAAATCCCAAGAGGACTGTCTGTCATCATTTTAAATGACCTCCCACCCCTACACAGACTGCAAAAACACCTGAAATTATTTTGCCACTTGTTTATATTTTAGACATCTATAAAGCCTAATAAAATACAATGTGACAAAAAGTTCAAAATGAAACCTCCTATATGTGTCAAACAAGGTTATTCTTGATGCACTCCGATGTACGGAAAATGTCGTTAGCTTAGCATAGACAGATAGAATCCACATATGACGTCACACTCAGACGCTCGCCTCTATTATCAGTGCTAAGGAGACAACCCTTTCTGTACATTGAAGTTACCTTATTTAAGAACCAATTGGTGTAAAGTAAGGCCTGGCACCCGCCGTCATAATATTTTATCTAGTTTTCCTATTACTTTATATCAATCCGTAAAAAATATATTTCCGTTTTTCCGTCTAAACGAAGCAATTATCGCTTTCTGTTTAAACATCTGAATTTGTGTAAGAATTGTATTAAAGAAAAGCAAAAAATCTGTCAAGTTGAAAATTATCTTTAAAAATGTTTACCCCAGCAATCTGCATCCAAAACCTTGTTTTTTAATCTCTTTTAAATATAAACCAAAAGTTGTATTTCAAGATTCACTTTCAAATCCTTAGATAACATCTTGAAAATTTTAAAGTGTCCTTCTTAGTTTAATCCTTTTCAGATGTTCTACTTTAGGCTTTTTTAGAATAATTTTCAAATATGTTTAATCTTAAATTTGTCTCAATAATCCTTAAAATACTCTTATCTTTCCGAGTAATCCTAAAAATATTGTAGTCACTCTGGGTAATCCTAAAAATACTATAGTCTTTATGAGTAATCCTAAAAATACTGTAGTCGCTCTGGGTAATCCTAAAAATAATGTAGTCTCTATGAGTAATCCTAAAAATACTGTAGTCCCTCTGGGTAATCCTAAAAATATATGGTCTTTCCGAGTAATCCTAAAAATGCTATAGTCTCTATGAGTAATCCTAAACATACTATAGTCTTTCTCAATAATCATAAAAATACTATAGTCTTTCTCAGTAATCATAAAAAAACGATAGTCTTTCTCAGTAATCCTAAAAATACTATGGTCTCTTAGGGTAATCCTAAAAATACTGTAGTCCCTCTGGGTAATCCTAAAAATACTATGGTCTCTTAGGGTAATCCTAAAAATACTAAAATCTTTCTCAGTAATCCTAAAAATACTATAGTCTTTCCGAGTAATCCTAAAAATACTTTAGTCTCTATGAGTAATCCTAAACATACTATAGTCTTTCTCAGTAATCATAAAGATACTATATCTCTTTCTCAGTAATAATAAAAATACTATGGTCTTTCTCAGTAATCATAAAAATACTATAGTCTTTCTCAGTAATCATAAAAATTCTATAGTCTTTCTCAGTAATCCTAAAAAAAACTTTAAATAGTTATTTTTTTTAAATATCATCTCAGTGCTGCAATCATAATTAACGTTGGGAATATTTTCAGATTGAATTATTTATTTTCCTCCTCCTTAAATGTAAATCTGACTTGAAATCCTGTTGAATGAATTGATCTAGAGGATTCCTAATCCTAATCTTGAAGGGAGGAAACCCTAACCTCTGAGGAAATATCTGCAGAGATGAGAAAACTGGGAGTTCTCACCCTGAACAGATGTAGATCTGACATGTTGGTCATCTTACAGCTCCAGGTACCCTACTCAGCACAGCTAGAACCTGAACAAATGTAGATCAGACATGTTGGTCATCTTACAGCTCCAGGTACTCTACTCAGCACAGCTAGAACCTGAACAGATGTAGATCAGACATGTTGGTCATCTTACAGCTCCAGGTACTCTACTCAGCACAGCTAGAACCTGAACAGATGTAGGTAAGACATATTGGTCATCTAACAGCTCCAGGTACTCTACTCAGCACAGCTAGAACCTGAACAGATGTAGATCAGACATGTTGGTCATCTTTCAACTCCAGGTATCCTACTCAGCACAGAAAGAACCTAAAAAGATGTAGATCAGACATATTGGTCATCTTACAGCTCCAGGTACTCTACTCAACACAACTAGAACCTGAACAGATTAGATCAGACATGCTGGTCATCTTACAGCTCCAGGTACTCTACTCAACACAACTAGAACCTGAACAGATTAGATCAGACATGTTGGTCATCTTACAGCTCCAGGTACTTTACTCAACACAGCTAGAACCTGAATCTGCTCACTAATTGAAAGTTTCCGAAATAGATTCGGTTCCCCTTTAAACTATGAAATCAATATAAGATGTTGGTAATTTTTATTTCTTGTTAGGGTAATTTAGTACAAATCAATTTTGAATTCAAATGCAAAGAGAAGTGACGGAATATTTTTGACAAAATGAAAAACAATTTTTGTAAATCCTCGAAAATATTGTTTAACATTTTATATTAATCTTGGATTCATGGTACAAATAACTTCAATAAAAACTAAATTTTACTGGGATTTAACTTGTACACAAACACGAATTCAAATTTTAACATTTAGAAAACAAAAGTTAGTATTTAATAAAGAAAGATATTTAGTCTTTGCCACAAACTCAAATTTGTTGATCCCTATTTCTTTAAAATATGATGGTGTAAACCTGTGGGTTTTTTTTAAACATAGTTTCTTTAATTCAACATAATTCATAATTTGAAATATCTAAGGTCAACGACATTTTGTTATAGGGATTAGAAAGTCAGAGTTTGTGGCAAAAACTCAATTTCTTTAATTCAATTTTAATAGTCACCTTTTCACTCAGGATCTGGGGGGGGACCCTGTGCAGCGGCAGTTCTTCTAATTCTCTAATCCGTCAAAAGTTTGAGGCAAGATAATTGAGATGAGGCGGTAATTTGAACATATAATTGGAGGTCATCAGATATGGGCTGATTGGATTGGTGGATTTGTTATTATACGCTTTAAATCTTTTTACTATTTATAGCTTTTGCATTTTCTCAGATTAAAATTTAGATGTTTTATTCTTTTAGATTGTCCTTGCTCTGGGGTCGGCTAATTGATCTGAACTTAATAGAAAACCTTCCCTACTCTTTACAAACATGCTAAACCAAGATTTCAGGGATTTCAAAAATGGAATTAAAAAAATATTTTTCTCAAGAAATGTTTTACTTGAATTTTATTATTATTGATGACAATGTGAGGAAAATAATTTAGTGAAGAATATTTTGATCTGTCTAGAAACCTAGGTTACAGAGATATAAACAGAGAAGGAGAAATACGTCAACACTCTCTTTCTTTCTCTCTCTTTTTCATCCTACACGTTATCTTCTTTTCTCTCATTCTCTCCCGTTCCTAAATTTCCGTTTTCCTTTTCACCTTTGTTTATCATATTGCCTTTCCTTCATGTTCTATTCTATTCTTCTATTATTTTCTATACTTCTACTGTTTATCTCTTCTACTGTTTATCTCTTCTACTGTTTATCTCTTCTACTGTTTATCTCTTCTACTGTTTATCTCTTCTACTGTTTATCTCTTCTACTGTTTATCTCTTCTACTGTTTATCTCTTCTACTTCTTCTACTGTTTATCTCTTTTACAGTTTATCTCTTCTACTGTTTATCTCTTCTATAGTTTATCTCTTCTACTGTTTATCTCTTTAACCTTTTATTTCTTCTGCTATATATCTCTTCTACTGTTTATCTCTTTTATTGTTTATCTCTTTTGCTGTTTCGCTCTTCTACACTCTATCTATTCTTTAAATCTAATCCGGGCTTTATGCTTTATAACATTCTAAGTTTGGGATCTTTAAACATTTTGTTATTTAACATTCTGTTCTTCGACATTTAGTTATTCGACGTTTTGTTTTCCGACGGTGTGTACTGTACTCCCTTTTTGTTTTATGTGTTATTTTTCACTTCTGTATTTACCAGGGTTTACTTAACTCAAAGTCTAAATAAAAGAATGTGTGCATAAAAACTTTTATTGATATATAAAAATCAGAAAACATTAGAATATTAAACATTTTATGTATTTAATTATCCTTGATACATCTAGATATATAATTATCCTTGGATACATCTAGATATTTAATTACCCTTGGATACATCTAGATATTTAATTATCCTTGATTACATCTAGATATTTAGTTATCCTTAGATACATCTAGATATTTAATTATCCTTGGATACATCTAGATATCTAATTATTCTTGGATACATCTAGATATTTAATTATCCTTGGATGCATCTAGATAT